CATCTCAGTCCCCAAGCTGCTAAAGCGCTGGCCCTTGCTCTCCTTTCCTCAGCTCCTCGGGCCGCAGCCCCGCGGAGCTGAGCTTGAGGAAATCCTCAGGCCAGTGGGCCAGGCTCTGAGAGCCCTTGCCCACGCGGTGCCCCTGACGTGACAGGGCATGGGCTGGGCTGGAGGGCTTGGGCAGAGACCACGAACGCGGGCAGGAAGAGCCTCTGCTGCCCACAAGGCCATGAATGGGAAGGCAGGACGCCCTGGGACCGGAGCACAAGGCACACCCTGTAAACGACGCCCGCCTCAGGGACACATGCAGGGCCCACACCCACCCGGCCCTGCTCACCACGCCCAGAGCCTTGGCTGCTTCCCCCTGAGGAAGGGGAAGGGGCGCTGCCTCCCAAGTGCCTACTCAGAGTCGACACTCTTTTCTTTTTGAGAGATTTTTGTTATAGAGCTTGTGCGCTCACCAGAGAGACAGAGAGAGAGAGACAGAAAGTGAGAAATTACCCCCTGGGGGGATGGCCACACCACAGTTCCTTCTCCTCCATTCTCCTCTTGGGATTTTGGGCATGCACACACACATGCCAGGAGTGAGTTTCAAGTTGTCAGGTCCGGGACGCGAACCGCGGTCAGCCCTGTGGGAGCCCAGTGACATAATCATTACGCCCTCTGCTGGTCCCAACTGACACTTTTTAACCTATATGCAGTGCGCACTGTGCAGGTGTGGCCCGCCCCTGACTTGCATCTAGAGCACACACTGCCTGATCGCTGCCCTCAGCCCCGGTGTACGAGAAGTCCACACCCAGGTGGCCGGTCGTTCATGCTGCTTGGGTATGCGTTTGCATTTTTCAATTTCTACAAGGATTCCTTTCCTTTCCTCAAAAGATATAACGTGGAAGGCAGAGCCAACTCCATTCCTGAGAGCCTTGGGTTCCCCAGGTGTGTCAGCTGCCCCACCAGGCACACGCTGTCCCCAGTTTGAGCTGTCCACCCTGCTCAATGCCTTGTGTACCTGGGAACCCTTGGGCCTCCTGGAGGGCATGAGGAAGCTTTCCCAGAGCGCAGGGTGATCCTCCCTTCTGGCCCACTCTGGCCTGGCTACAGCGGTTGCTCAGCTATGCATGTTCAGAGTAGTTGGGTCGGGGGTCTGAGAGTCCCCCTCGACGGCATGGGAGGGGCAGCGTGGGAGAGAGGCCTAAAACCCTTACACAGGGATGAGCACCCTTTGTGTTCTACGTTGTCATTCTGGTCTTACAAGATGACTCTGATCCCCACAAACTTAGGTCTCAAAGCTGATAGATACAGATGGAAAAATGGATGGATGGGTGGGTGGGTGTAGACAGACTCTCACAGAAAGATTTGGAGAGGAAGCAACGGGCCAGTAGGGTTTGCGTGCAAACTTTAGTTTTACATTTCCAGAGGGAAAGAACCATGACAGCCATACACAAGGCAAGTGCCCTGTGAGGCTGCTCCTGTTTGTTTGGAAACACGATAGAAGGTGCGGGAGCCATCCCGGGTGACGCTGCCTTCCTTTAGCTTAGGAACTAGACGGTTGTATTGACACATGGTGGAGCCTCGTCTCCATTTCCACGGTTTTTATCTAAGAGTGGAAAAGGCAAATGGGCACGAGAATAGTCATTAATGACGGGGAGCCATAAATACAACACCACCACCAGGCGCAGCCCCTGGGCGCCGGCTGTCCCTGGAGGAGCGCGTGAGGTCAGTCTACCCGATGACGCCACACGCCACACGCAGCCCTGTGGATGGAAGGAACTTCGCAGCCATCTGGGGCCAGAGCACAGGGCTCAGCCTGCCCCCAGGGGCTGGGTAAGGGCTTGCAGAGGTTGTTGTGAAGCCCCAGGGATAATAAAGCCATTTCTGGCTTCTGTCACTAGATGTAACTCTACAACCTTAAAAAGGTCACGGAAAAATGGGATTGGAGTATGAATATGAGTTAATGTCAATACAAAAAAAGTGAAATCCATTTATAGTTTCTTGGGGTTTTTTTGAGAGATTTTCACTATAGGGCGCATGCGCTCGCCAGACAGAGAGAGACATTAGAGACAGTGAGAAATCACCCCCCAGGGGGGATGGTCACGCCGCAATCCCTTCTCCTCCATTCTCCTCTCGGGATCTTGGGCAGGCACGCACAAGCGCCCGGCATGAGTTTTAAGCCACCGGGTCTGGGACGCAAACTGTGGTCGACTACGTGAGAGTCCAGCAACATAGCCATTACGTTAACTGCTGGTTCCCGCATAGTTTTTTTTTTTTAATAACACATATTTTCCATGAACTTTTTGAACATGCCTTATCATTTCTCCTCCAAACAGGACAATTTGAGACTGGATAATAATAATAATAATGTCATAAATAGAGGTTGTCAGGAACCGGGACTATGGGTCAGTACATGAAGCTATTCATGGAGCTGAACCCAGAACCTGAGCCAGGCTGTCACTCAATGACTGTATTCCCAAATGTCTTACATATAGGAACTTCCTTTATTCCCCCCAAACCTACAGGGTCAGTGCCCCCACCCCAGAGATTTTTGCTATAGAGTGTGTGTGCTTACCAAGAGACAGAGACAGAAAGCAAAAAATCACCCCCCAGGGGGATGGCCATGCCACAGTCCCTTCTCCTCCATTCTCCTCTTGGGATTTTGAGAATGCACACACATGTATCCAGTGTAAGTTTCAAGTCGCTGGGTCCAGGACTCAAACCGGGGTCAGCCACATGGGAGTCTAGCACCTTAACCACCATGCCACCTGTTGGTCCCAGTCAGTGCTATTCTTATCCCCTTTCATATGGGGAAGACACAGAAGCTGAAGAGACTTGCCAGAGGACGCGCAGTGAGTCCTACAACCAGGATCCTGATCCCCACAGGCTGCCAGGTAGGTGCGCTCAGGTGTCCCCAGGAAACCCAGGGCTGCCCAGTCGGACTCTGCAGAAATGACCAGCTGGAGGTAAATCACAGTTTCGACCTTAGACCCATGACGCCAACTCCTTGCAAAATTGGGTGTTCAGGAGTTACTGAAACAAAACGCAAGTACAGCTTGAAAATCCTTGTGGAGCAGGAAATGAGTGGGGCTTTTTGAAAAGCTGTGCAGAGTTCAACAGGTACACCCACTCCACCAGGAAGCCATCGTGGTTAAGAGTGAAACATCCATTTTTATTTTTTTTTAATTTATAGGTACTATTTTCCAAGATAGCTACTAAACCATTAGGACATACAATTTTATTAAGTCATTTGGACTCAGCTACTTAATAAACATAACTGTGAGGTTCTTCTTCTGGCCTAGGGACACCATGAAGGTGACATGGCTGGAGAACCTTGAGGAACCCCTGCACGCATCATTTTGCCATTGTTCGACCCCGGAGGGTAATGACAAGGGAACTTCGAAAAGGTTGTGGAAACAAAGAGTTAAACATAGTTAAAGTATGAGTTTATTTTGGTGTACACATTTTGAAATCCATGCAGAGGAGAAGGCCTTCTAGTCCGGAGGCCCCCGCCCACCGTGGCGTTGTTTGTCCTGGAAAACCTCTTCTGTCTCTCTGTCACACCAGCTTGTGACAAGGAGTCCACAGCTCTCCTCTCCCTCACGCAAAACCCAGTGTCCTCTGACTCCCCTCAGACTGTTGCCGAAATCCCATCTCAGTTCCCTTCCTCCAATCTCCTTTTCCCACTGTGGCAGGGAGCCAGCCGGTTCTGTGTTTCGACCTGAACCTAGAGAAGGTTTCGGGAGAGCATCTCTCTCTGACGTATGGTTTGCTCCTCAAGGTTAGAAGGCACTGTCATCTCAGCCCCACGGGACACAGTGATAAGTAGACACACAAATGAAGCCCCTCCCCAGACAACATCTCAGACTGGCCCACCCCGCCCTAAAAATACAGACAGTTATCAGACAGAATGGGCAACTGGGTGAGGCAAAGGGAAGTGAGGAGGAAGGTGTGGGTGGTGGGAGGTGGCTGGTCAGGGAAGTGGCCCCTGGGTCTTGGGCCACAGACACACTTTCATTCTCCAACTGCCCATCTGCTATAATGGGAACTAGGCAGCATGGTGTGGTGGACCAGGGAGGGCGGGGCAGGCCACCTAGCTTTCTAGGGGCCCTTAGACAAGCCACTTTTACAGGGCCTCAGTTTCCTCTCTCTAACAGGATTGGATTGCCCAGTGATCCTCAAACTGGTGTGCCGAGGAACACTCACAGCTTGTGCACCTGGCGGCCTTGGGATGGCTGTCTTGCCGGGGCATCAAGTTTTTTTTTCAGCTATTTGGAGGCACACTCTTTACAAGAAAACAGTTTTTGTCATTGTTTTTAATGCAAAATTTGCATACACTGTAATTACAGTAACCAATACTTGATAGCATTTCATGAGCAATTACTATGTGCAGAATGTCCTGCCACCCTCTGTACATGATCCTCACGATCCCCTAGTGAGCTCTGGATATTTCCATTTGATAAGTGGAAAAAATGGGGCACTGGAGGGTAGATAATCCACCCAAAGTCACCTGTTATTAAACAAATAAAAGACCCACCCCCACCCCCCCACACACAAATCCCCCCAAAATCCCCAGGCCCGTTAACAGTGACTTTTAGATCTGCTCCAGACCTGGAGCTGCTTTGGCGAAGTCTATACAGCACAGGCCAGTATTACCTCCAAAGTCCAGTCTGACACTGGAGTCTAGTGTAGCTCAACTGGTGGATAAAAGGTTTTGCACACCCGGTCTCCTAGAGGATAAAGGAGGCTCTGGAGGCCCCGCGGGGGGCCAGGAATTCACTAGATCGGGTTTTCTGGGCTCTCAGAAGCTCTCTTCGCTGCCAAGGGCTCCCAGCCCAGCCCAGGGTTCACGGCGCGCGCTACCCGGCACTTCCTCGTTCACTCACTCCCGGGGCGCAGCTCCCTACGCCTAGCGCCTCTGGCGGGAGGGGGCCGGAGGGGAGATGTCGCAACCGCCGCCCTCCCTCTTTCCCCGCCTTGGCGCTCCGTCACCTCCCAGATGAGCGCGCTCGCAGACCGCTGCGGGCCGCCGGGCGCCCGGCATGTCCCTTGAGTGCGCACAGGCGGCGGGCGCCGGCCCCCTGCGCGGCCTGGAGCGAGCCAACCGCACCCGCTTCCCCTTCTTCTCCGACGTCAAGGGCGACCACCGGCTGGGGGTGGGCGCGGTG